TGACCGATAAGCAAGAAGACATACATATCAAAAATGTTTTCTAATTTAATCATTCAATTGACCCAAAATACTTAGTCTTTGAAAAAACCCTAGGTTGAGTCAAAAATTCCCAATTCACAGATGAGACTACTTTATCCGATAACACTGGTAAACGACTACTCATGCATGATTGAATTGAAATAGAAAGCAATTAAAGAAAACATCATTGTAAATGAAATCAAAAAGACAAAAGTTGAAATTGAAAGAAAAGTAAATACCTTGTATTGAAATTACAATGAATGTAAATCGTTTATAAGAATAAACGGGAAGTAATTGGGTTGTAAGAATTTGATGCTTGAATTGAAACAAAGCTTGTAAAGTAAAACAATGGAGAAAGCTTGAAAGAAGAGAAAAATATAAAACCCTAGAGAAGAGAAAAGAGAAGAATGGTGAATTAAACGATGGAATTGAGCCCCCTCTCTTTTAGCTAGACTTGGGTATTTATAAGAGAGTATTCTGTTGATTTTTCCCACTTCAGTTCACCAATCATGACTCTCGAAATAAGCCAGTCGATTTCCTTCCATAGTTGTCTTAATTACCGAATTTTACAGGAACCTACCAGTAGGAAGAACACGACCAACCAAGACTGTTCAATGTTTTGCATCTATCGGTTGCTTTGCTCTTTTACTAGTAGAACCCCTTTTTGTCTACAGCCCACCAGTAGAAATAACATGACCTACTGGTAGAACAACTCTGTTTTGCATCTACCAGTAGAACTATTTTCCTACTCATAGAATCAAGTTCTAGCCTTTATTGTTCTGGTAGAAGACCTACCATCAGAAAGGGTATTTTCCTCAATTTTCTTGTTGCGGCATTGAATTCACTCCTGGACCTCCTAGCTCATGCCCCAAGTCTTCTATGACATTGACACACATGTAAATCCATGTTCTTATTCCAATTCTCCTGCAAACACACATTTTCACTATAAAATACAAAACTCAACTAAAATAAAGGAATTAAGTAGCTAACACAACTAAGATGGATAATATGTGGCCTATAATATACAATATTCTACACTCATCGTATGCCACAAACACCACCTATGGCGCGTATTGGGAAAAACAATCTCAATTGCCTTGTCTTGGTCCGTAATTATTGCATTTGGAGCACAAAAATACATGTAAACAACCCAAGATTGAAATAACCAAGTAAACATCTTAACATTCTCACTTGATACCAAATCACATCCTAATAAATTCGATTGAACATGGTGATTGACCCTGACAAATGAAGCAAATGGCATGTCATACTTATTCATTAAATATGTGGTGTCAAATGTAATGGCATTACTAAACTCCTCATATGTTACCCTACTTCTAGCATTTTCCCAAAAATACAATCCTCAAACGACCCTCATCAGCCAAATCCATCATATAGAAAAAGTTTGAATTATCACCTTACATTTTTAAGAAATAGTTGTGAATTAAAGTAGCACCTCCTTCCCCAAGCTGCAACTGCCTTTGTCAATAAAATTTATAGAATCTTTGTCTAAAAAGGGAACATTCTCATACCCACCTGCTTCAACCACAATAGAATTAAAGATCTTGTTAATTCGAATTTCAGCTCTGTCATTCTTTTCAAGTCTTCTTTTGATGTATGGTCTAATTATCTTGTAACACTGATAGAAATGAGATTTGACCGGACTCAACCCATGGTTATGTTCAAGCATGACAAAAGTCACTCGCCACCTACCATCGGAACATATAGTTGCTCTCAGATTTGCTTTACAATCAATTTTGGTGATTGGATGCATTTGGAAGGCATTTCTTGATGTAGATTTTGACTTTCCCTAGCCAAAACTTGCAAATGACATATATCTTAGCTCTCCATCATCTCTCTTTGATGATGTTCTTCTTTTTATGGGAAAACCTAGGTCATTACCATATCTTATGTAGTACTCCATTATTTTGTCAACTGTAATAATCATCATTCCAAATTTTAGCTCTTCTAATTTTTCTACCACATTGATTGTATTGTCAACTTCCTTCTCATAAGTATTACCATCCATCTCCATGCTTGTATAGCTAGTTGGAGTTTCTTCTTCCATTCCTGTCCAAAAAAAAAAACACAAAACATAGATAATCAAAGATCATAGAAATAGTAGATTGTCACAGGAATGAAAATAATTGGTCACTCTTAAAGTTACTATAAACACATCAAATGTTAGTTTCTTAATTCCTAGTTGAGATACTGCATTTATAACAAAAAACTTGGAAGATGGATTACCATTGAGGAATTGATATTGCTGAGCCGATTGTTTTGGCGGTAGACTGATAACCAAGTTCCTATATGCTTTAAAATAATTTCCTATAAAAAAATAGATTACCTTGATCTGAAGAATGTCATGGGCTTTCCAATGAATCTTTCTTGTGGCATTCTAAGGAATTTAATTTAGAATTTTTACGTGATTTTCAAGAATAACTTACATAAGTATGAAAGTAATTTTCCCAAGTGATAAAGTAGTATTAAGATTAGAGACACAAAGATTTGAAAAAAAGTCTATGAAGCCAAATAAGCATTTAATCAAGTAGTTGGAGTGCATCGAAGGTTTGTTGTACAAAGTCAGACAAAGTCTAAAGATCTGGAGAATACCTTGAGCAATAAAAAATAGAGGATGGATGTTTCAGAATATCAAGATTAGACTATTAGTTGGATTGATCTTCTTGGACTCATAGGGATACGATGCGGAACAACCCTGTCTCATCGGCCACTGGTGGAAGTCGAAAATACTAGAAAATATGGAGATGACTGAAACGATTTTTTTGGTTTCATTCTGCCTATTAGTAGATCGGGGAATTCCACCATGTCTCTCAATTTTGGAATTTGATGTTAATCCGCTTCTTTCCTTGATTTTGGGCTTAGATTTTGGCTGAAAATTTTGATGGGTATTTAACCAGTAAGAAATATTTGCACAGTAGACTCTCAATGTCAGCCGCTGTGTCATTTTGTCACTTTTTTTGGTCACTAATTTTGGTCAATTCAGAGCCTAGAAATCAAATGATAATGGTATACAAAGTTTTTCTAAAAAGCTTATAGTCAACATGCCTTATTTTGGATGTTGAACAAGAAAGATGAGGAATTGAATTTCAAGGGAATTTTTGGGTGTTCGCTGGAAAAAGAGAAGCATTACAAGATGGTGTATTAGTTGGACAAGGAGATTTTCCAGATGAGGCGTTTCTTGAAGCTTGTGAATATAATGTGAGCGCGATTGAAAAGAAAATCTCAAAAGAGAGGAAATAGAAGGTTATGGAGGGGAGAGTTGAATTTCAAATTCTTTTAAAATACAAATAAAACAAATTTGCGGATCAAGAATTTAAATTATTTTTTTTTTTATAGAATTCTTATTTTTTAATTGATAATTCTTTTTTTTATATTACGTAGAGTCTTCATGCATGGGCATTAGCTAGTATATCTATATGGTGTTCCCTTTTTTATATTCTAGATGTTATAATTTCTATTTATAACTAAATTTGTGTACATTTTATGAGAATTATTTGAATTGGGTATTTAAAAATTTTGGATTTAGTTATTTTCTCATTTTTGGCATGAGCTTGACTCAAACTCAGTTCGAGTCGAGCCTAAATAATATTTTGAACTTGATAACGAAGTTGGAGCCAAGCTAGAACATTTCTTGAAAAGCTCAAGTTGAGTCTAGAGGATAACCAAGCTTGAAAGATTCCTGTTCGATTAACATTCTTTGAGTCTTAAAATGGTGGCTAGGTTTTGTTTGTGCTAATTTTTGGTTTATATTGGTGGTGGTGGTTCTAGGATGATGGACTAGGTGATGATAGTGGTTAATTTAAAGATGGAGGTGGCCGGTGGTCGTGGTGGAGGGGTAGAGGTAATAATGCATATTCGTTGTAGACAAAATTTTAGTTAATGAAATTGATAAGATTTAGTGTTACTTTTAAAAAAAATTAATTGAAGACACAAATTAATATAATTAATCAAACTTGGTCTGAATTTTGAATCATAAAAATCATCCATGGTAAAACAAATTGACTTAATTAATGGAATTGATGAAATTTGGTCTGAATCTGAATACAAATTGACTTAATTAATGGAATTGATGAAATTTGGTCTGAATCTGAGTACAAATTAACTTAATAAGTTATTTATATTTGATTTGATTTTTTTGGATTAATTAACATAATTGCTTAATAATATCAGAAGAAATTTAGCTTAAATAATGTAATTGATTTCAATTCGGAGTAAATTGTGACTAAATAACTTAGTTAAATATTTAATTATTTGAAAGGGGACAAACTTATATTATTATATCATAAGTCAGTGGTACAATAGTCTTAGCATATTAGTGTTGCTGTCAAATGGCATCCCTGGAACAATAAGAATTTGTTGGTTGTATCATTGTTTACCATTACATAGAGGTTATTCGTTTGTCACAACATTCAAATGTTAGGCGGCACGATTGTAATTTATTCTAACTTAGTATTTAACGTGCCAAATGTGACAATTGCCCATTTAGTATTTAGTACTTTCCCTCGCTCACAACAAAACAGTAGCAAAGAGTGCAGAGAAACCCACAGTGTGATTCAAAAAAAAAACCCTAGTGCGATGGTCAATATGGAGAGAATCAACAAGAAACCAGTGAAGATCAACAAGAAAAACAACCGACTTTTATGTTTGATGAAGAAGACAAGAGAGCTCTCTGTTCTCTGTGATATTGAAGACTTCCTCCTCTACTATGATGGTGACGATAATAATCATCTATCTCTTCTCTCTTCTATTCTTGGCCCGATGATCGACATACTATTATTTCGCTGATCAAGAAATATAGGCACACACTCAGTGAACCCATCAAGAACATAAAGAACAAGAAAAAAACTATTGGTTTTGCAATGAAAGATAATAGCCAAGATTCCAAGATCGGTACAAATCATAGCTAAGAATCAACTATGGGTAATCTTTCTTTTCTTGTGCCAAGCTTTAAGGGTATAGGAATGGAAGAGTTGCAACATATTCTTTGTCAGGTCGACAAAGTCAAGATGGCTGTGGTTCAAAGAATCCAATCCTTGAAGACATCTTCTGCAAACTCAAACAAACAAGAAGAATATAGTCCCAAGAACTTCAAAGAGTTAGAAGAAAACAAAGGTGAGATGATTAAGGCTATGAGTTTTAATGATTGGACATTTCTTGAAAGTGAAGATCAATGCACAAGTTCTGTTAAGAATGAGGAAAAAATGATTTGCAAGAATGAATCTCATTTTTCATTGCTTCTCAGAATGATACAAGGTCTATATTTATACAAATCATGATCACCAACTTTCTCACTCTCTTTCCTAACTAATAGGATCTATTATAACAATAATTAAATTCTAACTAACTTCTATTCAGCTAACAACTTGGGTGCTGTATATATTATGCCTAACTAATTACTGTAACTAATCATGCCAGCTCAGCTCTTGGATGAATATGTTCAGCTCAAATGTATGTGCAGAGATATTCTGGTGTGATGTAGTTCCAGCACCAGCTGTGCAGTTGCAATGGACAATGGATGTATTCTCAATACGCCCCCCTCAAGATGGAAGCAAAGAAAAGGAGAAAGACCAAGAGGATTAGTGAAAATATTTCTGAGCTAGTTTGAAGATGTAACATGAAGTGTTTTGATAACCCCATGTTGTATTTGGTCACAAACATAATGACAATCCAGCTTAATGTGCTTGATTTTCTCATGGAAAACTGATTGGTTGCAATATGTAAGCTACCTTATTGTCACAAAATAGTAACGCAATAAGAGGATGTAGAAGTTTGAAATCAGCAACGAGAGCTATTAGTTAAGTGAGTTCATAGCAAGTGGAGGTCATGGATCAATATTCTGCTTCAGCAGAGGAGTGAGAAACTATAGGTTGTTTCTTTGATTTCCAAGAAATAAGGGAATTTCCTAGAAAAACACAAAATCTAGTCAATAATTTGCGTGTATTAGGGCATCTAGCCAAGTCAGCATCACATAACCCTTTAAGGTGAAGAGCTGAGGTAACTGGGAAAAAGAGACTTTGAGCAGGTGTTGATTTGACATAACTAAGAATACGATGAGTAGTATCTAGGTGAGGTTGCCTTGGTGTGTTCATGAATTGACTAAGGACCTAAACTGCATAAGCCAAATTAGGTCTTGTAAGAGTAAGAGCAATCTGCCCACAAGTCGTTTGTAAGCAGAAGGATCAGTCACTTCAGAATCAATAAGGATGTCTAGCTTGAGATGTTGTTCCATTAGGGATTTAGCTGGTCTTCCACCAAGAAAACCAGAGTCTTGAAGGATCTCTAGAGCAAATTTGTGTTGACAGATTGAAATACCTTGAGAGGATCTGGCTACTTCAAGGCCTAAGAAATATTTCAAAGAACCAAGATCTCTGATCTTAAACCGACTATGAATAAATTGGTTGAGCTTAGCAACAACATTAGGAGTATCAGATGCAATGACGATGTCATTAATATCGATCAACACAACAATAAATTAAGTATCATCTTTTTTGATAAAAAGAGAGTAATAAGATTTGGATTGAACAAAACCATATCCAAGAATAGCATTAGACAACTTAGAAAGCCATTGTCTAGATGCTTGTTTCAACCCATATAAAGACTTATTCAATTTGCAGAGTTGATTGAGACCATTTTTAGCAAATCCAAGTGGGAGTTGCTTGTAAATTTCTTCTATGAGATCTCCATGAAAGAATGCATTGTGAACATCTAGTTGAAAAAGGTGCCACCCTTTGATTGTTGCCAAAGCCAACAGACATCCGATAGTGGTGAACTTAGCCAATAGAGAAAATGTTTCAAAATAGTCAAATCCCTCTATTTGAGTATACCCTTTGTAAACTAGTCTTGATTTGTACCTTTCAATGGTACCCTTAGCCTTGTACTTGATTTTAGGGTTAATTGCATTGGAGGTCCCCCATAGTATAGAGTTTATCTTATTTTGGTCCCAAATATTTCAATTGCATCATTTTAGTCCATAATATTGAATATATTTCTATATGGTCCCTCAAGCAGATAATATCCAAATTGCTAATAATTTTTTATTATAAATTTTTCACATGATACTTAAATATGGACAAAAAAATAATTTGGGTATCAAAAGTTATTCAAATTAATTTTTTCTCGATATTTTGGTATTATGTGACAAGTTTATAATAAATTTTTTTTAGCAATCTGGACGTTGTTTGCTTGAGAGACCACATAGAAATATATTCAATAGTTTAGGGACTAAAATGATGCAATTAAAATATTGGGAGCTAAAATAAGACAAACCCCATACTTTGAGAACCTTTAGTGCAATTAGCCCTTTATTTAATATGCCCACTTACAACCAATGAGAATTTTGCCAAGAGGTAGAGAGGTAAGGGTCCAGTTGTGATTATCTTCAAGAGCTTGGATTTCAGAATTCATGGATGTGTACCATTCAAGGAATTGAATAGTCTTCTGGAAATATTGACGTTCATAATGTGAAGAAATACTGAGAATAAAAGGTTAGAGCAGAGGAATAAAAGGTCAGAGCAGAGGAGCTTCCTAGGTAGCAAGCTAGTTAGGAGAGAAGTCACTTTTGGCTTCTTAAGTAGGGGCAGGGAGGAAAGTCCGATAGGAGGCATGTCTGACCAATTCGACCATAGACTAAAGTCGGGAATAGATCTAATAAGAGAAAAAGGCATGTGTCGATCAAAGACCGAAAATGTTTCTTTTTGAATAGAGACAAGAAACTTCCATCGTTTTTTCTAACTATTGGGACAAGAGTCAATACATCATTCTCTTTGTTTGATGATTCTGCTAGAAAGTTGAACAATCCTGAGAATGATTCTAGGGAGAAGGATAGGCCCGGTCAAACTATGGATCTCCCTAAAGAATCTTGTCTATTCCTATCATAAAACCCTCTAGACTAGACTTCTGGGTCTTTTAGCCAATTCACTTCAAATATGTATGCGGTATGCTCATTTTTTTAGGTGAGAGGAGCATTGCTTTGAGGAAGGGAAAGTGTGGTTTTATATTAGATAGAAGTGGCTGGCCTATAAGGCTTTCTATTGTCCTTTTAGGTCTTTTGAAAGAGAAGCGAACGAATAACTATAGCATTACTCCTGACCCCCCACAGAACACAGAAAGAATCCTTAAAGAGGGAGGGCGGCCCTACCAGCTTTGATTCACCTTTGGGGGTTGCTAGTGGGTAATGCTTTCACTTAAGTGTTCTTAGCATCTCAAACCTTGGAAATCAAATTGAAAGTGCTATCCCTGAGGGAAAGCAGGTGTTCGAGGCCCCGCCACTTGAAGGGACAAGCTTCGTCGCTTAAAAGGACACTTGAGAGAATTCCTTAGATGCGGTACAAAATTCCCATGGCAATTGACAATGAGCTACTTGCCAAACTATTTTAGCATAGTTTGACTGGACCCGCATTGACTTGGTTGATGAACACTGACCCAAATACCATTTGCATGTGGCTAGATCTGGTTAATGCCTTTGTGACGCACTATGCATAGAATACGGATATTCAGTTATCAAGGCATAAGCTTTGGCATCTCAGTTGTGGATGGTTAAGAAGAAATGAGCTGACAATGGTAATCTTGTAAGTAACTAGGTGTCCTTCTTAGTCGATGAGAATGTCTAGATGAGGGTTGAATAGAAAGGGAAAAAGAAAAATTAGTAGAAGGGAATGATATGTTGGAATTGAAATGATATTATCCGGTGAGGTAGAGTTAGTAGAAGTAAAGAGTCTTCATCAACATAGTGAGATGCTGTAGCAATTGTGTGAAAAGGAAATTTAGACTCATGAAAAACATCTTGAGAGATGAAAATAGAATTTAGCTGATTTTCTTTTCATCAGATAAACCCAAATTCATCTAGGGAAATCATCCACAATAGTAAGAAAATATTGTGAAACTTTCAGCGAGGGAACATAAAAGGGACCCCAAATATCATGATGTATTAATTAAAAAGGAACAAGTGATGTTGTGGTGCTGATAGAAAATGGTAACCTATTTTGTTTAGCATAATGACAAACATTGCAATGATCATTACTAGAAAGAGTAGTATCAGGCACATCTTTATGCAGCAAGGCTAATCTATGAGAAGATAAGTGGCCAAGTTTAAAATGCCAAAGATTAGTAGAAACTTTAGTTTGTACAAAAGAAACATTTGAACAAAATTGACTAATAGGTTGCTGTGGACACTAGTACAATCCATTTCTTTCTACACCCATCCTAATTGTCCTCCATGCTAATAGGTTCTGGATAAAACAAAAGCCAGGTAGAAACAAGAAACAACAGGAGATTTGATGAGTGAGTTTATTAGCAAAAATGAGATTGAAATATAAAGAAGGAACACATAAGACATTAGTTAAGAGAATAAAATTGGATAGTCTCACAGTAACAATGTGACATACAGAGACAACTTTACCATTTGGCAACCTTATTGATGTATTGGGAACAGAAGTTGTAGGGGCTAAGTAAGATATTGAGCACACTATATGGTCAGTTGCTCTAGTGTCAATTATCCAGTCAATCTCAGTTTTAGAATCATTATGTTTTGAAGAATAGGATGAAGAAAAATTTGAACAAGGTGAAACTTCATGATTAAGAGACGAAGACAAAACATGAGGATATAAGAATTGGTTACCAGATAGATTTAGTAATGAATTATTTGGAGTGCTACTTATGTGATTCACAAAAGGTTGCTCTTTAGCTTGAGATTGTAACTTCAAGAATGTTAACAACTGTTGAATTTGCTCTTGGCTTATTGGTAGGTGTGGATTTGTACTTAGTTTGATCTTAGGAAATAATTTTTCACCGTTGACTTGTCCAACTACTTTAGAGTTTGATCCAGAAGTATTCTTGGTCTTTGTAAAACAATATGTAGGTGGATAACCATGCAATCTATAGCATTTTTCAACTGTATGGCCTAGGATTCTATAGTGAGAGTAGGCTGGCCTTGATTTGTTGTAATTTTTACTGTTGGACTGGTATGTTGAAGAATTTGTATTGTTGAAGAGTGTAATAGAGTCAATGTTTTGAGTAATAGAGGCCACAATCTCACGTTGCCTTTGCTCTTGAAGAGTTAAGGAAAAACAACCTTGTTAATTGAAGGCAAAGGATCTTGAAGCAAGATCTAATTTCGAATATGAGAAAAATTTTCATTTAGGCACATTAGAAATTGAATGATGTAATCTTGTTGCAAATACTCAATCAGTGTCTTCATTGTTCTACAAGAACAGACAGGCATAGGACAATTATTCATGAATTCATCCCACAATCCT